CGATGGCTCGCCCCAGGCAGAGGGCCGCCCGCCCCGGGCAGAGGGCCGCAACGGCTCGCCCCGGGCAGGGGGCCGAAGGCAGCCCACCCCAGTTTTCCAGTTTTGACCCATGCAGTGTTTCCTTGCTATTTTGATGACCGCCTCCTGGTCCAAGTATAGTTTTTGCAATAAGCACTGTCAAATATTCTGGGATTCCCATTCTTAGAGGCAGCCACAGTTTGTTGTGATCCACACAGTCCAATGTCTTTGCATAGTCAATGAAACACACATAGACATTCCTCTGGTACTCTCTGCTTTCAGCCAAGATCCATTTTAACATTAGATATAATATCCCTAGTACCATAGCCTCTTCTAAACACAGCCTGCACTCCACGCAGGTCTCTGTTGAGAACATTTTTTTAATTTTTTTTTTTTATTATATGTTTTTATTAGCTGGATAGTATTCCAGAGTTGGAATTGTCACTTGTTTATTTAAAATCTCATTATGGGAGCTCTGGTGGCCTAGTGGCAAGAAGCCACGCTGCAATCCAGAAAGCACTCAGCATGAATCCACCAGATGTTCCACTGGAGAAGGAGATGCAATTTCCTCCTGTACCAGTCAGATCTGATTCAACGGTACAAACACACAGAGACACAAAAATGAAAATCTTGTTATGATTAGCTTTTGAGTTTGCATTGTAAAGAATACTATGGAAAACACATATTTGTATTTAAAACTGTCCTCATTCGTTTGTAGAATAAATTTTTAGAAGCAGAATTACTAAATCAGTGAAAACTTTCAGACATTCCATATTATATTGATTTGCTTTCCTAAAAAGCTTTAGCAATTTTTACTTAGTGTATCAGCATGCCCATTTTCATCTGCTCAACAGAATTGAGAGCTACATATTTTCCACTTTGCTAATGTAGTACCTTATGTTGCTTTTTAAAAGTGCTATTAAAATATTAGTAAATTAATTATAAAAATTTTTATATCCTTTATTCCTTTCTCTCATTGAACCCTTAAGATTGAGCTTTTGTCATCAACTGTAAGTTTCAAGAGTTTTTGTGAAGAAGATTCCCTAGTCTTTATTCCATGGAAGCAGCTGGTGGATTTTAACTGCTGACCTTTTAGTTGACAGCCAACCAGCTGCCACCTCACTACGTCACCAGGGTTCTAGCTAGTAAACAGAAAATTGTAACATTCAGAAGAAAACTGAGCTAATAATGCGAAACTTATACTTGGACCAGGAGGCAGTCGTCAGAACAGAGCAAGGGAACACTGCATGGTTCAAAATTGGGAAGGGCGTGTGCCAGGGG